GCCCCCCTTGGCAACCACAAGTTTGTGTTCTATGCCTATGAGTTACAGCCTGTAGTTTAAACATCTGCCTGTAGTTTATGTTGGTTTTTCTAAATGAAAATCTTACCTACAAAAAAATAGGACTTTAGTTTCTGTCCCAACCCCCAATTCCTGACAACTTTTTGTTCTCACACATTGGCCAGAACTGCCATTACACTGCTCAATAAAAGTCATGCGCATTCTTTAATTTTCTTAATTTCATGGTATGTATCTGTTTTACCACTAACAAGAAATTTGACCATTTTTTAAACATACCCCCTACAAAGTTAAAGGAGTTACTTTCTATTTCCAACTTAATATTTAAAATCATCCATGGGTATTACAGTCCATCAAATGATTTACCTACACATAGTGAGACACTCATATGGCTTTCTTCTGGTATAGTGGTTAATTTTACATAAAGAATTTCTAATTCAATCTTTCAAACATCCTAATATGTCTCGACTAGGATCAGATTCCGCTTCACACGACAGAACCAAATCTCCTCCCGACCAAAACGAACAATGCCTTGAACAAGATCGCTCATGTCTCTTTTGTGTAAGAAGGTGCCCAGATTTGGTCGTCTGGGGCTGGCTCAGCCACACCATTATCACCAGAGAGCCCAGACATTATTTCTCTACTCAACTCTAGCAGATGGCTTCCATCCTCAAGAATTTTAAGATGGTTTTACAATGGCTACTGAGTCTCCAAACGTCTGGTGTGTTGCACGTTAAAAAGAGGAAAGATGAAAGGACACTGGGCGAGCTCTCCCTAGCTGTATGTTTTCCTTCTGAAGAACATTCCCATTACACCCTCTCAGCAACTTCTATTTCCATTTCATTACTCAGAATTTATAGCATGATCACACTCAACTACAACAAAGATGCAGAAATGCAGCTTTTTAGCTGGGCACACAGACATCATGAAAATTGCAGCGATCCCATTAGTCATGAAGAAACACTGGGTTCACTACTAGTGATCTGCTACACATCATGACTTTAAAAAATAAAAACTCTACATTATTAGATACATTTTTGCAGTAAGTCCATTTAGGATTTTTAAATATATGTTCACAAATGACTTCATCATTTTTTTCCAAAATGTCTTATTTTCTGTGAAATACTGTAAAATGTTAGAATTAGCTTTCCTGAAAATTATCAACTACTACTGAAAATCTCTGGAACCTCTTTCTCTTCTGGGGCTGGGGCAGAGTTGGAGGAACAAGGTAGATTTTCAAGCCAGAGATTGTTTTTAACTTTTCTATTTTGTTTACTTGCTACAGATCTATTCATTTCTGTTAAGTTTCATTTATCTGGTAACTTTTCCATTTCATTTAAGATCAGACCCAATGGGGCATTATCCATTCACACAGTATTTGACTTATACCTTCAACATTATGCTAACATCTCTGGCTTCTAGTGGGCAAGGCTGCAGGTGGGTCTGCATCACGCAATACAGCAAGCTTTAAACTAACTGGCTCTGGGAAGAGGAAACACAGTACGTGTGCATTCTTTCTTTAATATGTGTATGTATCTTCCTTGGGATATCAATACATGGGCAACATACACAATATTTTCCAGGTTTAACTGTACCAAGTATCTGAAACTCTTTGCTTATGCGAGACTCTTCTTCCCTTCTGTGAATCAACATTCTCCACTCCCGGTGTCTTGACTTTGGGTCCTGCATTATGAGCTGAGCACACAAGGATCAGGCATTCAGAAAATCATTAAGTACATCCTTCAAGAAAGAAAGCTGCTATGGGTAAGAGACGGGATTCCCTGCTGAAGTGAAGAGCACAAAGCAGTGGGTGTTTCAGAAATACCTGCAGTTGTGAATCCTCGTATCCCTTCAAGGTCGCCCTAGCCCACTTTCCAGGGTCCCAGCTCTTTCCAGACTACTGCTCATGCACATAAGGTAGCTGGTGGGATTGTGAAAAAACACCGACTCTCTACGTAAGCAATCAGCAGAATGACTTCCCACCACCCTGAGTCTACAGCTACAGGTGCACATCGCAGGAGCACCACTCAATGTACTGAGAGGCCACCAGGTACCTCAAAGTGAAAGAGAGGTGAACCAGGATTAAAAAGTGACGGTAACGGAAGCTACTCTGGGTTATCTACACAGAAGGAATGAATTGAGAACTGCAGCAAGATGCCACCAGAGAACAAAAGCTAAGCTTGCTGTTCTGTATGGAGGCGGTCCATTAAAAACGTAAATCCTGGAGCATCTCGGCCAGCGCTGGGCCACGTGGGTGAGGGTCCCGTCGTGACTGCACGCGCTGCGGACTCTCCTGATGAAAACCACGGTGTTCTCACCAGCGACGACAGAACAGATTCCAGCACACAGCCACATAAAGCAGGCACTACACTGATTATGTAACTGAAGAGGTAGTTGCCAGGCCCACTTACAAAGGGCACAAAGTAACAGGAAAGCCTGCAAGTGTTGAGATGCATTTTTACTGCCATACTGTTATAGTAACAGGCTGTATTTCTTAATAAGAATGCTGCTGTCCAGAGTAGAGATACCTGAGAAGCGGTACTGTTACCTGGCAAATTTCTCTATCAAATGTGGCGTTCACAAGCAACATGCCAAACTACACGAAACATATTCTATAGTACAGAGAGGAACAGAACACCTGAGCATCCCTGTAGGTCTTACAATGCAGTCCTTACTGTTACCCTGATTATTACATTTATTTACACACTTTCAAAAATCTTTATGTTCTGTTATGAACATGCTTATCACTGATACTTGAATATTTTCTCCAATCTTTTCCTAAAAGTTTGGAACATCTGGAACATAGTTTCCCTTACTTGTAAAGGAATGAATCAAAGTAATAGTGATATAACCTTCCTGCTGAGAATCTACCCCACTGGAAACATTCGTGTGTGTGTGTGTGTGTGTGTGTGTGTGTGTGTGTTCTATTCTGCTACAAGTTTATCACTTCTAGATGAAGAATTTCCCTAACTTACAGCATGGTTTCTCCAAAGCATGAGATTCTGATACCTGAAATTCAATGGTTTTATATTTTCTCATTAAAATTCTAGTGGTTAATAGATTATGAATTTCAAAAGATTGTATTCCATATTCATTTCCATTATGGAATTTCCCTTGTAAATGCTAGCATATTAAAAAATTACTGACATTCACTTCATTCGTGTATTTCTTCACCTGCGTAAGATTAAAGGTATGACTTCCTCCTGTTAACTTTCACAGGGCTCACAGATTTCACAGGGTTCCTGTGACATGTACTGGCGTTTTCTGAGTGCAGAAGAAACAGCTTTCTGTGAATGTCCTTCCACGTGCTGTAAACACACGAGGCTTCTCTTCAGGATGGGTTTTCCGGTGTACAGAGATGATTCCATTTACAGTTTCTCTCCTGTATGAATTTTCTGGAATTTCCTGAGAAATGGTTTCTTACACTTAACTCACCAACATATTTGTCATCTGCATGAATTCTCTGATGCATGATGAGCTGTGACTTCCAACAAAAGGCTTTCCCACAGTCACTGCATCCATAGGGTTTCTCCCCTGAATGAGTCCTCTGATGCACAATGGGCTGAGATTTCCTAATGAAGGCTTTTTCACACTCATTGCATTCATAGGGCTTCTCTCTTGTGTGCATCCTCTGATGTACAATGAGCTGGTATTTTCCACTGAAGGATTTCTCACATTGACTGCACTTATGAGGGTCTTCCCCTTCATGCGTTCACTCATGTACAATGAGTAGTGACTTCCAAATGAAGGCTTTCCCACATCTGTGACATTCGCATGGTTTCCCCCCGAGTGAGTTCTCATGTGTATGAGTTGGACTTGCTGCTAAAGGCTTTCCCACATTCGCTGCACCCATAAGGTTCTTCCCCAGCATGAGTTCTCTGATGAGAGATGAGCTGATCTTTTCTTCTAAACGTCTTCCCACATTCACCACATTCATAAGGGTTTTCTCCTGTGTGAATTCTCTGATGCACAATAAGGTGTGAACTGAAACTGAAGGATTTCCCACATTAACTGCATACTAAGGTTTCACTCCCGTGTGACTTCTCTGATGTACAATGAGCTGTGACCTCAAACTGAAGGCTTTTCCACACTGATTACATCCATAGAGTTTTACCCCAGTGTGTGCCCCCTGGTGTACAATGAGCTGTGACTTGAAGGCAAAGGTTTTCCCACACTCACCACAACCATAGGGCTTCTCCCCCGAGTGGGTTCTCTGATGCACCACAAGATTAGACTTTGTATTAAAGGCTTTCTGACATTCACTGCATTCATAGGGTTTCTCTCCTGTATGGGTTCTCTGATGTATCATGAGCTGTGACTTCAAACCAAAAGCCTTCCCACATTCATTACACCCATACGGTTTCTGTCCTGAATGCGTTCTCCAGTGCGAAACGAGCTGGTCTTTCCTACCAAAGACTTTTCCACATTCACAGCATTCACAGAGATTCTCCCTGGTGTGAATTCTCTGATGTATGATGAGTTGTGAACTGAAACGGAAAGTTTTCCCACATTCACTGCACTCATGAAGTGTCGCTCCTGTGTGAGTTCTCTGATGCACAACGAGGCAGGCCTTGCGGCTGAAGTCCTTCCCACCTCCATTACGACATCTGCAGGGGTTTTCTTCTGCAGGAGTTCGCTGACCCACCACGAGGCAAGACTTGCTGCTGAAGGCCTCCCTGCAGGAACTGCATTCAGAGGGCTTTCCTGCCACGTGCATTTGTTGGCATATGAGCTGCGACTCTCTTTTGACATTTTTTCCAGATCCACTATTTTCACAGTATTTTTTTCCAGTAACAGCTTGCTCATGTTTAGAATGGAATAATGATTCCCTAAGATCATGAAACCCACTGGGATATTTTCCAGCATAATTACTACTAGAATCTATATATTTCAAACTCTTTCCATGTGTAACACATTTATGAAATTCTTGTCTTGAAGAAACATAATTTGTACTATGAAGACATAGTCTTCCAAACACAGTACACTGGTAGCTTTCTGCTCTGCTTCCCAGCTTGCCGTGACTTCCCTGATGCCATTCCACACGATCATCAATTTCCTGGACTTCATCTAGAGAGGAAAATACCCATATGTCATAAATAGTAACATGATCCTAGTATGTAGCACAGAGTGACCTTAAAAACGCCATGTCGTGAGGTTTTTCTTTTAGTTTCATGTATCAGTTCTGAATGTAAATAAAATCTAAAGTGTAAGCGTACCCAAACTCTTGTGCTCTGGGTAAAATAAAATGAAACATGAAAATAGGCATGAGGAACTGACAATAAATACAGTCTTCAGACAAAGAAGGAAAGAACATACAATGGAGGAAAGATAGTCTCTTCAGTGACTGGTGATGGGAAAGCTGGGCAGGTGAACATGAATCAGCGAAGCTAGGACGCTCCCTCACACCACACACAAAAATACACTCAAAGTGGCTTAAAGACTGAAACATAAGACAAGACACTGTAAGCCTCCTGAAGAAAACACAGGCAAAAACATTTTCTGACATAAATCTTAACAATGTTCTCCTAGGGTAGTCTACCCAGGCAATAGAAATAAAAGCAAAAATAAACTGGGACCTAATTAAACTTACAAGCTTTTCCACTACAAAGAAAAAACCATAAACAAAATAAAAAGACAGCCTATGGCAAGGGAGAAAATATTTGCAAATGATGAGACTGACAAGGGCTTCATTTCCACAATACACAAACAGCTTATACAACTTAATAACAAAAAAAAAAAAACAACCCAATTCCACAATGGGCAGAAGACCAAAAGAAGCATTTCTCCATGAAGACATACAAATGGCCAAAAGACACATGGAAAAATGTTCAATATTGCTAATTATCAGACAATTGTAAATCAAAACTACAAAGAGGTATCACCTCACGTAGGTCAGAATGGCCATCATTAAAAAGTCCATAAACTATAAATGCTGGAGAGGGTGCGGAGAAAACGGAACCCTCCTACACTGCTGCTGGGAATGCAGTTTGGTGCAGTCACTGTGGAAAACAGTATGGAGACTCCTTAAGAAACTAAAAATAGACTTACCATATGATCCAGCAACCCCACTCCTGAGCATATACCTGGAGGGAACTTTAATTCAAAAAGATACATGCACCCAAATGTTCACAGCAGCACTATTTACCATAGCCAAGATATGAAAACAACTTAAATGTCCATCAACAGACAACTGGATAAAGAAGATATGGTTTATTTATATAATGGAATACTACTCAGCCATAAAAAAGAATAAAATAATGCCAATTGCAACAACATAAATGGACCTGTAGACCATCATTCTAAATGAAGGAAGTCCAAAAGAGAAAGAAAAATAGCATATGATATCACTTATATTTAGAATCTCAAATATGATACAAATGACCTTATTTACAAGACAGAATTAGACTCAAAGACACAGAAAACTTATGGTTACCAGAGGGAAAGGGAGGGTGAAGGGATATAATGGGAGTCTGAGATATACAGGTACTAACTACAGTATATAAAATAGATAAACAACGAGGTCCTGCTGTATATAGCACAGGGAACTGTATTCAGTATCAACTAGTAAACTATAATGAAAAAGAATATGAAAACAAATGTGTATGTATGACTGAAACATTATGCTGTACATGAGAAATTGACACAATACTGTAAACTGACTACACTTCAATTTTAAAAAAGTAAAAAAACAAAAATAAAAAGTAAAATTTTGCATAATGCCTTCCTCAGAAGGCACAAGGAAAAATGAGCAAAATATAAAGAGGTGGCAGGGGATCTCTGCGCATCACTTTCACTGAACAAATAGCGGCTGAATGCCTATTCCGTGCCAAACACTGCTCAGCCCAGGATGAAACAGCAGAAACGCTGCAGACTAGTTACAGGCCTCTTGGGAGCAGTTACACTGACGTCCAAGAAATGGAAAGACTCCTAAGAAGCATCGCTGTGATGATGGTGACTGACAACAAGCAGTGGCTAGTCAAGGGTCCAGGAAAAAAACAAAAAACCTCACAGAATGGATCAAAATTTGGAATGGCATCTGAATTCTCATTAGCATCTCAAGAGGAGAGAAAACAGAGCATTCAGGAGTTAAGTATAAACATTTTCAGAGCACAGGTCTCAAAATTTATATCAAATGCACCCTTTCACAGGCAGCTACTGTGAAAACAAACCAAGAAAAAAGATGACACAATGAAAACAGACAATAAAATCTGAAAGGAGATTCCAGGGTAATAATTGTACAGCCACGCCTTGAGAAAAATTAGGTTTCACTGGAGCAAGTCAAACGACACGGGAGTGTTGTCACCTGGAGGGTGAAATGGACAGAATCACCAACTGAGCTGAATACACCAAAAGAGCATTCAGATATATGAAGAAGAATCTGTTGTTAAATTAATTATAAACACATTAATGAGAACAGAGAAAGGTGGGCAGGCAAATAAAACAACTCAAGGAAAACATGATTTATGAACAAAAACTAACCATCGTGCACTTCCATGATTTACCCATGAACAGAAATTACAGTCGTAAAGACGTAAAAACTGAAGACTGATCTAACCAGAAGTACGAAGCAGCCTGATTAGGACGATGAGGGTCTGGGACCAGGCAGGGTGTGTATTCTGGGGAGTCTGAGGAAGGAGCATGAGGGAGAATTAAATCTCTACCCTTCCTACTGAGTAACTAGAGGAGAGAGTGAAGGTGCAGCAGCCGCAGCAGCAGCTGGTTATTCAGAAAGCATGGAGGTAAATGCCAGAAGAAAGAGCTAAGAGAGATGAAGTGGTTTTTCTCCGGGGGAATGAAAAACAGAGGGGGCAAGGTGGACAGAATGCTGTTTAAACATCGACGCAAAGGTAACAGTGGACAGGGAACCAGACACAGGACTACGTCCTCAGGCACAGTGACAAATACTTGGAGGCTGACTACAGAGAGAATGCGGAGAGTCGGCCCAGATGTCCCAAAGGAACCTGCTGACCAAGGAAAGGACAGAAAAGGGTATTCAGAGAACACAGCAGCAGTCAGGTTTGAAGACAGCACATCACAGGATCTTAATACCTCACTCCAAGTTTCACTACATCCTAAATCTGAATACTCATTCATTTTGTACACAAGCTCCAAACTGTATCTTCCCCAACACTGATTCCCAACTGGGGCAGTACCCGCCTTGGATGCAGTGAGCAATGAACATGAGCCTGTTCGACTATGACAGTGGCTTCGGAGGGAGTATAACTGTCTATCACATGGTCTTGAAGTCAGAACTATTTCCAGAAGAAGAACACAGGCCAGTGAGTAATTATCTGTGCCCTCGAGTCAGACCTGCTCGAATGTCTGCCGGTCAGTGTTGTCCCTGAAGACCTGCAAAGTTCAATAACCGCAGAAAACGAGATCACTGCTGGTATCTCAAGGAGCAGCACAACAAACTAAGAAACAAGGAAGGAACAGCGGAGCCAGAGAGCAGGAGGCAGGAACTCACAAGGTTACAGACGATTCGAACATGATTCAGGCCTGTGTTAAACATTATTACTGGCCATGGCTCATCTTGAGTTTAGCCACAGGAGACAGTGGAAAAGGAAATTAAGCTCAGAGAGCAGGACCAAGGGCTCACTAGGCCACAGTCTGCCCAACCAGGGGTCCCACGCACTGCAAACCAGTGACTTCTCTGTGGTGCCCACTGCTGCTGCTCTCCCAGAACAGGGTACCTGTTGTACCCACCCCACACCTCTCTGTCTGGTTGGTCGTACGTGGATCACTTGCCTTTAGTCAGCGATCCCCAGACCACAGAGAACCACCACCAGGTCTGATTGCCAACAGGGACCCTACACTTGCACTCACACAGGACAAGCATGAGAACAGGGGTGACAGAATGTTTTTGAAGATGGGTGGATGGAAGGAAAGGTGCGACTAGACGCGACGCGGCTAAGGAGGCAGATGGAGGAAGGCAGAGCCGCCTGCCCAGCAGCTCTCCTGCCCCTTCCTGGTCAGCCGAGCCTGGCCTTTGCTTCCCACCACCATCCGCGCACCTCAGGCGGGCACATGGGGACCCGCCTCCACGCTGGCCCCCTCGGAGGTGACACGTGCTTCTCCTGAGCCAGCAGGGGTGCTTCCACTCCCCTCGCCAGCGTCTCCTTCAGACAAGTGTGTGTGATCACAGCGCGGCCTAACGAGCACGGGGAGTCTGCAGGGCCTCCTGGATCACATTTTACTGCCTGGGAAACAGGCTCATGTGGGAAGACACAGTCTTCCTTACTCCACTGGCCACGGGTACAGCTGCGGGTGTCGGCTGGAACTAACAGCCATCTGATGGCCACGAGGGAGGAAATCTGAGGAAAGTACTGACGTACTTAGGTGACAAGGCAGAGAGAGACCTCTGGGGATTTAGTTACCCCTACAGATGCCCCACTTCAGGATGCTCTGCGATGTACGGTAATAAATCACTTTTGCTTAAATAGGCTGACTTAGATTAATTAAAAAAAACTGCACCTGCAACAATCCTAATGATACAAGATTAATTGCTGATTTACTCGCTCATGCGCATGACAGAACGCACAGGTGCTGAGGGAAACATCTGACAGTAACAGCAAAGTGACTAGGAGCGTAAGAGGATAAATCTGGCTCACAAGTAGAACAATCAAGAAGTGAACTAATGCTGACCTCGTCTGGGCTGAGAATGGAGAAGATGGAGGCCTTAAAAGACTTCTTTTTAAAGGACCAAAACAGTACCATATTACGGCAAGACTAGTGAAGAGAAGTGTGTACAAAGGAGAGTTAAGCTGACGCTCCAGCGCCAGGAGAAAAGCCAGGAGCACAGAGGAACTAGCCATCAGAAAGGCGAGAGGACGTCCCTGTATAGTGATGGGGCAGCGGGAGGGACATTCCAATTCCACTTTCTGAAAGTGAGATAAGGGGGTGGCACATGCAGAAAAGATGCCCTGGGCACTGACTGAATCCAGTACCAAAGGGCAGACAAAAGAGGGACAGGGCTGTCGGTCACCGACCGAGAGAAAAAGAGCTTAAATCTTCAGAATGGAAGTCTTTTTGAACTTACAACATACAAGGAAACTGGAGAACATAAGAAAAGACTCCTCTGGACTCAGAGGGGAGAGCAAGAGGGGCCAGTAAACCATGAGGAGGGTGAGCCCTTTGTGATGCAGCGTGAGAGGGGCTCAGTGGGGTGACCTGAGTAACAGGGCGGGGAGCGGCTCAGGCAGGAGAGCACGGTGGCAAGGTGGTCAGCAAGGAGATACGGAAGGGGTGGTATCTCCTAATCAGTAGGTTCCAAGGAGAAGGAAACTGGAACTGTGGTTGTTGAATATAAATGTAAGACATTTTTTAAAAAAAACAGGAATGAGAAGGGGTGTGAGAGTCATACCGAGGGCGGTAAACAGGGAACACTTGCTTCAATGCATAATGAAATGAGTCTATTACCACGAGAACGTAAGACGGAAGCTGAGACGGCCAGAGAGGGGAGTAACGAAGACAGAATAGTTGAAACGAGACAGAGGTACAAACCCGAAGGGAGCGTCACGTCAGAACTCAGCCCAGGTCTGGGCACGGAGGAAAAGCACTCCGTGTCCTGCTCGCTCACCTGCACGGCCCTGACTTGGGATTCGCATCGTCCACAGCTCTTCTTGTTCCAACTGGAAAACGACACTGGGTTTGGTGTGCTGGTGCCCTGTGAGTGGAAAATCACACACAACCTGGCCGAGATTGCCCAGGATCCAGGAATTCTCAGGAACGGGGAGGCTCGGTTCAGAGGTAGCACGGTGAAGCCGCCCTTGGGCACTCTGCACAGGAAACACCATCCAGCCAGCATAATCCGATGCCAAAGGGAGAGTAAGAAAACCCGGTCTCTACATACAAGCACAGAAACACCAAACATTTTGCAGAAGTCCCTTGGCTTTCAGCAACCAAGAAGGGGAGGCGGAGACTCCGTACCCTCCTTCAAGGGAGGCAGTACTTACCCAGGGACGCCAGGTTGTTACAGTTCTCCAACATCACACTCCTGTACAGGTGCTTCTGAGCTGGGTCCAGCAGCCGCCACTCCTCCCAGGTAAAGTCCACAAACACGTCCATGAATGACAGTGGTCCCTGGAACAGCATATTCCCGTCCGATGACAAATTATTTTACTCAGTTCTCATAAACAAAAGGCTGCCAAGGGTGGCCATTCTTTACACGTTGTTTTGTGAGAAAAGCAAAGATTTATTGAAAGCATTCCATCTATATGCATTAAATCAGTTAACCTTTCATTAAACAAATGCAAATACCATGTGCCAGGAATTCAATTAGGTGCAGGTGATATAAAAATGGATGCAAGGCAGTCATGCCTGCAAGAAGTGTTAGCATTGCAGAGGAAGCAAAGTTAAATACATAAAAATGCAACAGGGAGTAAAGAAGCTCAGATAAAAGAACCTGCAGAGAACATGGGCACAACAGAGGAATGGGCAGTGCTGCCGAGAAGTGTCAACTAAGTCGAGAAAGGGGCCGGGAGGAGCTGCCATGGAAGAGAAGACTTGCGAAAATTTGGCGGAATAAAAAAAGGCAATGGCTGTAAGTAGCCGCCACTTTGTGGGGCAAAAGATCTGAATGTGAAGATACACGATGGCAAATAAGCACATGACATGATGCTCAACATATGTCCTCAAGGAGCTGCAAATTAAAACGGCCAGACATCATGCACACCGAGAATGGCTAAAATGTTCAAAAACTGACAACACCAAATTTGAAAATGAAATTTCAAATGTGATGAAAGACATGAATATAAACATCCAAGAAGCTCAGCAGACTCCCAAAACTGAGACGTGATATAATCAAATTTTCTACAGACAAAACCGTAAAAGCATCAGAAGACAAACGACTTGTCACACAAAAGGGCTGCTCAGTAAGAGTATAAGCTGAGTTTCTCATCAGAAGATCAGAGACCAAAAGGCAATGAACCCATACACTCAAAGAGCTAAAACAAAATAACTGTGAGCCAAGACTCCTACACCTGACAAAACTGTCCTTCAAAAGTGAGGTAAAATTAAGACTTCACCAGAGAAACAAAGTAAGTTTGCTACCACTAGACTTGCTCTGCAAGAAATGCTCAAGGGAGTCCTGCAAGTGAAATAAAAGGACACTAGAGGGGGAGTACAGCTCAAGTGGCAGAGTGCACGCTCAGCACTCAAGACGTCCTGGCTTCAATCCCCAGTACCTCCTCCAAACAGAAATAAATGAATAAATCTAATTACCTCCCCCTCATGAAAAACAAAGCAAGCAAAATGTGTGCTTGGATACTGTTCTATAAATGTCTCATCCTTTAAAAAAATAAAAATGAAAAAGGACACTGGAGAATACCTTGAAGCTGCCTAAAGAAACATCTAATAAAGGTAACATCTGGGCAATAATTAATGGTAGTTATTATTTTAACTTTGATTTGTAACTCTACATTTTCTTTTCTACATAATTAGAAAAGACTAATGCTTTTGAAGTAACTATTGGGTTTATGTTTCGGAGCACACAATGTATAAACACATAATTGTGTGACATCAACAACCAAAAGGGGTGGGACAGAGCCCCAAAGGAGCATACTGTCTGCATGTTTTTGGAGTTAAGCTGGTATAAATTCAAGTCAGAATGCTATAACTTTAGAAGTTAAATGTAATCCTATGGCAACCACAAAGAAAATAGTTACAAAACTTATATGAAAGCAAATGAAAAAGGAATTTAGATATTCCACTACAATAATTCAACTAATCACAAAAGACAGTAATGCAGGAATTGAATGACCAAAATGCTATAAGGCATATAAAAAGCAAAGAGCAAACGACAGAAATAAACCTCTCCTTATGAGTAATTACTGTAAGTGTAAATCAGCTAAACTCCCCAGTGAAAGGACGGAGTTTGGAAGAATGGATCAAAAAACATGACCCAATATATGCTGTCTACAGGAAACTCATTTCAGACCCAAAGACACAAACAGACTGGAAATGAAAGGATGAACAGAGACATTCCATGCAAGCAGTAACCAAGAGAGAGCAGGGGTGGTCACACTAACATCAGACAAATCAGAAGAGATTGTAAGAGACAAAGAAGGAAATTACAGGTTATTACATTTTACTACAGCAAGAAGACTGACAATTATAAATAGTTATACCTAATAATAGATCGTAAAAATACATGAAGCAAAATCTGACAGAACTGAAGGAAGAAATAGTTTTATAATAATAACAGGAAACTTCAACATTCCACTCTCAAACATGGATGGAACAATCAGACAGAAAATAAGAAACAGATTTTAAATAAACTCATTAGTTCTAACAGACATATACAGAAAACTCTAACCAACAACATACACATTCTTCTCAAGCACGCATGAGATATTTTCCAGGACGGATTGTAATGTTAGGCCACAAATTAAGTCTCAAGATTTAAAAGATAAATATTATACAAAGTATCTTCCCTGGCCACAAAGGATGAAGTTAAGCATCACTAAAAAAGTGGGGGGAAAGAAAGGAAAATTCACAAACTTTAAAAAAAAATTAAACAACACAGTATTAACCAACAGATCAAAGAAATCAAAATGGAAATTAGTAAACACTTGGACACGAATGAAAACAAAACAGAACAAAACTGATAGGATGCTGCAAAAGCAGTGTTGAGGAGAAAGCTAACAGTTATAAATGATTATATTTAAAACAAGAGACATCTCAAACCAACAATCTAACTCTACAAGTTAAGGAAATGGGAAAAAACCAAACTAAACACAAAAATAGCAACAGAAAGGAAATAATATAGATTAGATACAAATAAACAAAATAGAGACTAGAAAAACAGGAAAAAAAACAATGAAACCAAAGCTTAGTTCTTTAAAGAGACCAACAAAATTGATAAACCTTCAGATAAATGGACTAAGAAAAAAAAAAGAAGATCTGAATTACTAAAATCAGAAACGGCAGTGGGGAAATTAGTAATGATTAGTTCGGACTCAAAAATGATTATTTGAAAGGACTATGACAAACTGTGTGCCAAGAAGCTGGATAACCTAGTTGAAATGGGTAAATTCCATTTCCCTTTCAATCAACATTACATCACAAAGAAATAGAAAATTTGAAAGGAACTATAACTAGGAGATTGAGTCTATAGTAAAAAAATTTCCCAAAAATAAAAAAGCCAAGGTTTCACTGGTGAATTTTATCAAACATTTAAAGAAGTACTAACATTGGTCTTTCTCAAGTTTTTACAAAAAACTAAAGAGGAGGGAACACTTCCTAATTCATTCTGTAAGACCAGGATTACCCTGATACCAAAGCCAGACAAGGATACTACAAGGAAACTACTAAAGACCAATACTCCTTATGAAATAGATGTGAAAATCCTCAATACAACAACAACACATCAAATTCAGCAGCTTATTAAGAAGATTACACACCATGACCAATGGGATTTATTCCTGGAATGCAAGGATGGCTCAACATTTGAAAATCCCTCCGTGTAATACACGACATTAATAGAATGAAGTTAAAAAAATGACTATCTCAATTGATGCAAAAAAAAGCATTTGACAGATTTGAGCAACTTTTCATGATAAAAACACTCAATAAAGTAGGGATAGAAGGAAAGCATGTCAAGATAATAAAAACTCAGTGAATAGCATTCTCAATGGTGAAAGACTGAAAACTTTTCCTCAAAGATCAGGAACAAGGCAAGGATGCCTGCTTTTACCATTTCTATTCAACATGGTGCTGGAAATTCTAGCCAGAGCAATTGGACAAGAAGAAATAAAAGGCATCCAGCTTAGGAAACAGGGAGTAAAATTCTCTCTGTTCATGGACAAAATGATCCTATTGTAGAAAACCTTAAAGATTAAAAAAAAAAAAGCCAGTTACGACAAATGAATTCAGCAAACAGCAGGATTCAGTCAACATACCAAAATCAGTTCCATTTCTATACACTAATAATGATCAATCTGAAAAGCAAATTATGAAAACGATTCCATTTAAAACTGCATCACAAAGGAGTAACTTAACCATGTAGTTAAATGACTTGTAGAATGAAAACTAAAAATAGTACTAAATGAAATTAAAGAGACATAAATAAACATAAATGTTATTTTCCTTAATAACATGTTAATACTACCCAAAATGATCTACAAACTCAATGCAGTCCCTAATAAAATTCCAATGATGTTTTCTGTGATGCATAAAAACTAAAATACATATGAAAGCTCAAGGGACCCTGAACAGCCTAAAGAATCTTGAAAAAGGGATTTCCGGTCAAGATGACGGAGAGGTAGGACCACGAGCTTGCCTCTCCTCACAACTACAACAAAACCACAACTGAATGCTAAACAACCATCGAAAAAAGACTGGAACCTAGCAAAAAAGATCTTTTGCAACTGGAAACATGAAGAGGGAACCACGGCAGGACAGTAGGAGGGGGGTGCTCACAATATAATCGAGCCCCATACCTCTCGGGTGGGCGACCCACAAGCTGAAGATTTGTTAAGTCGCAGAGGCCCTCCCACAGGAGTGAGAGCTCTAAGCCCCACATTAGGCTCCCCAGCTCGGGTTCCAGCATTGGGAAGAGGAGGAGACCCCATGACATCTGGTTTTGAAGGCCAGGGGTATATAGAGAACCAAAACTCAACCAAAAAAGCCAACCTATTCAAAAGTGGCCAGAGGACCGGAATAGACATTTCTCCAAAGAAGATACCCAAGTGGCCAATAAGAACGTGAAGATGCTGAACATCACTAATCATAAGGGAAATGCAAATCAAAACTATAATGAGGTTTCCACCTCACACCAGTTAGGCTGAAAATCACAAGGGTTGGCGAGGATATGGAGTAAGTAGCACACTTGTGCATTGTTGGTGGGGATGTAACATGGTGTAGTTGCTATGGAAAGCAGCATGGTGGCTCCTCAAAAAATAAAAAAATTAGAATTACCATGTGGTCCAGCAATTCCACTTCTGGGTATATCCCCAAAGGAAGTGGGGTCTTAAAGAGCTATCTGTACATCCACATTCACAGAAGCAGCATTATTATTCACAGTAGCTAAAACGCAGAGGCAATCTAAGTGTCCATCGATGGATGAATAGATAAGCAAACGGTGGTAGATACATACAACGAATCAGTGTTCAGCCTTAAAAAGGAAGTCCTGCAATGTGCTATAATATGCATTAACCCTGTGGACATTATGTCAAATAATAAGCCAGTCACAAAAAGACAACTACTGTATGAGTCCACTTACATGAGCTATCTAGAGTAGTCAAAATCCTAGAGACAGAAAGTAGGATGGTGGCTACAGGGGCGGGGAATGGGAAGGTGAAAACTGGGAGTTATTGTTTAATGGGTACAGAGCTACAGTTTTACAAGAGGAGGAGTGCTGTGGAGATGGGTGGTGGTTATGACTGCCAACTTCATGAATGTATTTAAACCCACTGAATTGTTACTTAAAATGGTGCAGGTGAGAAAAGAAAATATAAGTGCAGAACATGAATGCATAAAACTACAAACAGTGGTTTTAAAAAATAAAAGATCTAAAAAAGTGGAAAGGTACAGGGTGTCTGTGGACTGGAAAACTCAATATTGCTAAGATGTAAATTCTCCCTAATTCGCTTCATAGATTTGATGAAATTCCAATCAAAGTCCTTACAAGCTTTTTTTTTTTGTAGCTATCCACAAGCTCTTCTATAATTAATATAGAAAAGCAAAAAACTGGAGTAGCCAAAACAATTCTGAAGAAGAACAAAGGTACCACACCCCCACTAGTGCACTCTAAGACTTCCTACACAATCCAGGTGGGGGTGCTGGTGAAAGATTAGACACAATGATCAAAGGAACACAAGAGAGAGCCTAGAAATAGACCCACATAAACACTGTCTCTTGAATCTCTTTTTTTTTTCCCCTACAAAGACACCAGCAATTCAATGGAGAAAGGATAAACCTTTTCAACAAGTGGTGCTGGCACACCACAGACTTGCACATCCATAGGCAAGAAAGTGAACCTCAACACATACCCCACACCTGATACAAAAATTAACTAAGAATGGGTCACAGACTTAAATGCAAAGCTAAAACTATAGAAGTTCCAGAGGAAAGTTTTTTTTTTTTTTTTAATTTGAGCACTTTGGTTTGGGCAATGAGATTTAAGATACGAAACCAAAAGCAAAACCCATTTTAGAAAATTCGAATCTTGGTAAGCCACAAAGTTGTTGAATAAAAGCAGATTATTATAAGACTTTTAAAAAAAATTTAAGAAAATAAACATTTTCAAAGGTAAAATATTTTGCCCTGTGGAAGTTGGTATTATGGAAATGAAAAAACAAACCAGAGACGGAGAGAAAATATTGGCAAATCACATTTTTTATGAGGGACTGAAATCGAGGATAACAAAGAACTCTTAATCAGTAACAAGAAAACCACCCAACTGAAAAATGGGGGAAAGCTCTGGGCAGATACTTCATCAAAGATCCACAGAGAATAAAACATGTGAAAAAATTATCAGTAACACTAGCTGTCCATTAGGGAAAAGCAACTGAAAACCACAATGAAACAGCACCTCACGCCTAATAGATTAGGCAAAATTTTTAACAACCTGAAGCTCCCAAGCACTGGTCAGGGTGAGGAACAACAGGGGTTCTTACTCTCTGCTGGCAGGAATGCACAACTGCACAGCCACGTCGGAGGATGGTTTTTCACAAACCTAACCATAGTATCGCCATGTAACCCTGCAATCCTGCTCCTGGGTACTTACCCAACTGCTCTGAGAACACATGTCTACGCAAGGACCCACATGTGACTGCTGACAGCTTTCAAAATCACCCAGAACTAGAAGTATGTGGATAGCAAGACTCATTACCAAATAAGAACAGTGTGACGTTGGCCTAAGGACAGAAAAGGAGGAAATGGAACAGAATAAAGAGTTCTGAAACCAAACCATAAATATGGTTTATGGACACCTGACATATGACACGGTGGCACTGCAGAGTCACAGGCAGAGGTCAATCACTTCAGTGAGACTGGGGCAATTAGACAACTTTATGAAAAAAGTAAATCTTGATGCTTAAATCACCAAAAAAAAAAATTAATTCTAGATGTCTGTGAACCTAAATATGAATGGTAAATGTGAACAAAGAAAAATTTCTTCATAAGCACTGGGTAAGAAAAGAGTTCTTAGAAAAAGCACTAATAATAAAAGCAAAAAAATGTGTAAACCGAATTAAGTTAAAATGAGAAATACCTGTTCATCAAAAGACAGCACTGGAAGGGAGGGTAGAGCGTGTGCTTAGCATGCATGAGGTCCTGCGTTCAATCTCCAGTCCATCCATTAAAAATAAAATAAATAAATATAAATAAGTAAGCCTAATTACCACCCCCCAAAAAAGATGAAAAAAAAAAAACAGCATTAATAGAATGAAAAGGCAAGACAGGAAAAAAAAAAACCCAACTTGTAAGGAAATACCGAACAAGAGTTAGTGCTATGCATTGTGAAGTATTTAGAGGGAGGCATGCTGATGTCTGAAATATACTAAGAAATGCACCAAAAATCAGGTGGGTTAATAGATGCATAGATGGACGGAAAGATGGAACATGCGATAAAGTAAGTATATAGTAAGACGTTAAAGGTGATGAGTATATAGATGGTCACTGTAAAATCCTTCAACTGTGGCATGTTTGAAAACTGTCCTAACAAAATACTGGATGTAAGGGAAGCACCTCACATAAAATTTGAATATGGATCTGATACCGAGCTTGCTTTAAACATCAATGTGCATGAATCACTGAATCCTGCTGAAATGTGGAGTCTGATATGACAGGACTGAGGTGGGGCCTGAAATTCAGCATTACTAATAAGCTTCCAGAATATGAAGACCTCCTTTAAATCAGTAAGACAGAAAACATCCACAAAAGGTAACAAAATGTCCAAAACCCACAAGAAAAGAGAGTCCACCTCTTTAGCCAGCAGGAAATGCAACGCAAAGCCATATGGGATCCCACCACACCAGGATGGCTCAAATGAAAAAGAACAACAATTAAGAGTCATAGGAGTCTGGGGAGGGTGTGACTCAGCAGTAGAGCACATGCCTAGCATGCATGAGGTCCTGGGTTCCATCCTCAGTACCTCCACTAAAAAAATAAAACGAGTAAATAAATAAACAGAATTACCCCCTCCCCCCCCAAAAAAATGCAGAAGAAAAAAAGCAGAAATTAAAAAAAAAGTCGGCGCAGACTGTGAGGCAAGTGCAGGATAAGCTGGGGAGTCTACGAGGATGAGAAATAAAAGCAGTACAGCAGGACTCACACGTGCATGCCATCCACATACACAGAAATGCATGCACAGCAAAAACAGTACACATTTTGTAAACAAAACAACATCCATTAAAAGAGTAATTCTGGGGAGTGGAGAAGCAGCTGAAAA